TCTTGGAAATCTGTTTGCATCTGTTTTATGGATTCCATTTGTTTCCTATGTTGGGATTCCATCATGTTCCTCAGATCCTCTATTTTTTAATCTGTGTCCTCTCTAGATTTATTAATCATGTCTTGCACCATGAGCAAAATCTTTGCTGTTTTCTGAGTAATTATTTTTAATTTCATTTTTCCCAGGTCCTCTTTTGTTGCCAGTTCAGAGAGTCCAGGTGGTTGAGTATCAGATTGTTCCATCTCATTTCCCCTTGGGGTTGCTATAGGTGATCTGGAAGTCTGTTTTTGAGGCTTGTTTATGTGTCTTCTCATTTCCTCGGGGCAGGGGGGACCTCTGGAGCCTGTGTGGCTCACCTTCTCTGCCCTAGGAGCCTGGGATGGCAGTGGGGGAGCTTCCTTCCGGGTGCTGTGACCGGCTCAGCTTCCCTGCCCTAGGAGCTTGGGATGGCGGTGGGGAGCTTCCTTCTGGGTGCTGGGTCCAGCTCACCTTCTGTGCTCTAGGAGCCTGGGATGGTGGCAGGGAGCTTCCTTCCAGGTGCTGGGACCAGCTCAGCTTCCCTGCCATAGGAGCCTGGGATGGTGGTGGGGGAGCTTCCTTCCAGGTGCTGGGACTGGCTCAGCTTCTCTGCCCTAGGAGCCTGGGATGGCAGTGGGGGAGCTTCCTTCTGGGTGTTGGGACCAGCTCAGCTTCCCTGCCCTAGGAGCCTGGGATGGTGGTGGGGGAGCTTCCTTCCGGGTGCTCAAGAGGAGGGAATTTTTAAGAAACAAAAAAGGTGGTATATTTTCAGGATGATTTTTGGCCTTCACTGACTTAGGTCAGTGATGTCAAACCTTTCAGCACTTTCAATGATACAAAGAGCCTGCTGTGCACACATTCCATAGGGCCACCAATGACTTAAATTGTGCATCTGAGAAGGTCTCTAAACTAATGGGGTGTGGCAAGGGGTAAATAGTTAAGTATGGAATTCACTATGTAATTCTGGAAATGCACTGGCAGTTAAAAAATTACCCTCTTTCATTTGCTCTCAAAACCCCACAAACTATTTACCAAGGAAGCAGGATAAAAGCAGAGTTAGGTACCTACCCAGTAGAGTATAAACTCCAAGTGCTTAGACAATGAGGAACAAGAAAGGGAACTACACATTAAGGTTTACACCATTTTTTGTGACCACTCTGATCATGTCAGTATATGTCAGAATGAGCTGGCACCTCGTTCTTGAAAGATCAAATATTAAAAACTCTCACTTTTATTGCTCCCACTCCTCACTCTGATCTGTCCCTTGTGCACAATCAAAGATGAAGGGGTTTTTTTCCACACAGAAGCAATAACATCTTGCCCTGTTGACTATTGACAGGGTTGTTCACTGAGTAGGATTTGCCTACCAGAATCCTGGCCTTGGCAGTTTGTTCTCCATTCAGCTGGAATATAAGATAAAATCTGCCTGGGGTGTCAGATTTCTCTACTTACTTATATCTCATGGCCATTTTTTCTTCGTAACTTAAAGAGTGTTTCCTGATGCAGATTTGTATATAATGAAGGGCCACTGACTTTGCAGACTAGAAACTGGTCACTGAGGTGTCCTCAGGGAAGGGGAACAGGTGGACTGGATCAGGTTTATTTATTTGCAAACCAGTGAGGCCAAATAAAATCTACAAGGTGAATTGTATGGTGTGTTAATTATATCTCAATAAAGCAGTTAAAGTTTAAAACATAAAGAGAGGAAGAGGGGACAAAAGAGAAAGAGAGAATCAAGGTATCCTAAACCCTAAGAACATGCCCCTTCTCTGCCCCCACTCAAGGCTGGGGAGCATGTGGTGGCCCTGCCTGCCCCCCAGCTCAGCCCCAGCCCAGTCTCCTTCTCTATTCTTCTCCCAGATCTTCTGGACTCCAAACCTGGTTCCAGTTCTCACAAGTCCTGGCCCAGGCCCAGCTTCAACACCAGCCCCCACAGTGGTCCCTTGCCCCGGTCCTAATCCAGGCCCAAGTCCCATCCTAGACACTAGCCCAGGTCCAGCTGCCACTCCCATCCCCATGCACAGCTGGAGTTTGGGTTACAAACTCAACTCCTGGTGGCTCATCCCCTTTTGCTCAGGGACCACGTGCCAGAGCCCACCTGTTGTGGCCATGCAGTAGGTGCGGCTCATGGCTCTGTTTCTGCAGCTGCTTCTCCAGCTTGTCAGTGGTCAGCAAAGCCTCCAGCATCTGGAACTTTATGTGTGACATCTGGCTCAGGACCTGTACCAGGGAACAGGAGGGTGGAGGCTTCATGAGCCTTTCAGAAACCTATCAGCTGCCATCAGCCTGCCAACAGGCCTGCCACTCCTGACACTGACATTTGCTGACCAAGAGCCACCCTTCAAGTCCTTTCTCCCTGTGGTCACTCATGCACTTACTCACACACAGGTCCTGCCTGAGCACATGATCTGCTTCCTGAATTGGCCCTCCCCCGTCACTCCCCGGGACAGTTCCAGTCCTCCTGCTCTCAGGCCCCAGTAGGATCATCCTTGACTCCACATGCTCTGTATCAGCTAGTGCTGTCACCCACCCCTTCCAAACAGTCCCTGACCTCTTGCCTCCATGGCCCCCTCTATGGCTCCTGCCTCTGTCATCTCTTGCCCAGTGTCCTACACTGGCCTCCTCACAGGACTCCCTGGCCTACTCTTATCCCCTCTAGTCCCTTCCTTCTCACCAATCTGAGGCAGCCTTTCCAAATGTGTCCCCTCTTCTTACAGTCCCCCTGTTGCTCCCCCTGTCCTTCTGTCCTCACCATAGCTTGCCAGGCCCAAGACTCATTCTGCCTCTGTCACCTCTCTGACCCCACCTGCTGCTCTCTTCTCATCCAGCACGATACTGTCCTTACATTCATGGAGCTGCCCCCATCCTCCCACCTCCTGCCTTTGTATGCGCTCTTCTCCAGTGGGCACACATTGCACACTGCCCACTGAGCCAGGCTCCAGTGCTGCTCCTAGGTAGTCCCTCCTGGCCTTGCAGCAGCACTGGCAGCTTTGTCCCACCCACCCCATCTAGCACATCGCCATCCTGCTCTCTTCTCTCAATACAGTCACCAGGTGAGCTATGTGATTCTTATCCTGTTTGCTTTCTTGGTAAGCTCCATGGGTTACAATTATGTGTCTGTCCTGTTTCCTGCTTGGAAGTGGGACCAGGTATCTGGAATGAGGCCTGGCACACAGTGGGGTTCAACAAACCTGTGCCCACTTGTCACTCACCTGTGCGTTCATTCACTCCCCCGTTCCCTCTCTCCTACCACTCAGGGAGTCCTTGGCCTTGAGGCCTAAAGGATTCTTCATCACCCACCTTCCCCATGCACCTAAAACCCCAGAAGAAGGAATGTGTGGTCTCTGTCTCTAGTACCCAGTACAGCCCAGGCACTGCACACACACAGGACAAGAAGCCAGGTGGGGCCCATGACAGCCCAACCCCACAGGACCCACAGCCCAGAGAGCAGTAGTGATGGGATTGGGTCCTCAGGGAGGGATGCCAAGGTCCTGTGGCCCAGAAGAGGCCTTGACCTAAGCCAGGGACTGAGGTCAAGGCAAGACACGAGCCTGGCCACCCACCACATGCTCCCCATTACCTGAGCCTCCATGTCGGTCAGCTTGAGGGTCTGGTTTGTGGTCTGGTTCAGGAGGCTGGTGCCCAGCTCCAGCATGGGGGCCATGTGCTTCTGGACTATGTTTTTCTGGGCCTGCTGCAGCTCCAATCCCATGATGGCCTGGATGTACTCCTCCAGCTGCAGGGGCACAAAGGACTGGGTCACAGACAGGGATTGGGGCAGCCTCTGTCCCTCTCAAGTGTCTCCATGTGGAGCCACAGAGCAGCCAGGGGCTCCGAATGTACCAGGTCAGGCCACTGCCACCCCTGGCCTGGACCATCCCCGCAGCTTTCTCCTGATCTCTGGACTTCTACCATCCTCCCTTGCACAGCTAGAAGGATCCTGTTAAGCCTAAATGAAGCCACACCCTCCTTGCTCAAAATCATCCCAGAGTTCCTATCTCACTCAGAGGAAAAGCCAAATTCTCCACATGATAGCAGCCTCCTCCATGCCTGGGCCTCCTACTACCACACTCATTCCCTCCTTTCCATGTACAACACCTCTAGCACACCACACAGAAACCCTGTGCTCACCTCAGGACCTTTATACATGCTGTTTCCTCTAGAACCTTCCCCTCAACACCTTAGCCCCATCCAGATGGTTTAGTCCTTCTTGTCATTTCACATCTTTTTGTCCAATTACCACTCCCTGAATTTATACCAAATATCTGTCTGTTGTCTCTCTAGAATGTCAAGAGTATGAAACTGGGGACTTGACTTCAATGACGACTTTCTCTCTACCACAATACTTGGTACACAGCAGAATTTTGTCAATCTATAAATTTTATTGATAAATTTTAGGTATACAATATACTTATATCATTGGAAATTTGCAACTTTACATAATCTCTCTTGGTTCTTATTTTTCCCCATTCCCCTACCATCCCTTCAACCACTCCATCCCTCCATATCTACAAAGATTTTTGTTTCCAGTTTTTCTTTTTCTCATAGTAATTCCATTCCCTTCTTTCCTTTCCCCTACCCCTCCCACTTCCTTCCCCTTTTCCCCTTTTCTTCCTATTTCACATTATCTATTATATGTTTTAGTCCTTATTTACACTTTCACTTTCTCACACTAGAGAAACTATTCAGTATTTACACGTGTGTGTCCTATTTATTTCACTCAAGAGTATTGTCTCAGTATGCATCCATTTAGCTATAAATGCCTCTGATTTCTCATTCTTTAAGGCTGAGTAGTACTCCCTTTTATTAAAAAGAAAGGAACATTTTCTTTATCCAGTCTCCAGTTGATGGGCAATTGGGCTGATTCCAAGTTTCAGCTACTGTAAACTATGCTGCCATGAAATCCAGAGGATCATCACTACCTACTTCCAGAACCTATACACGAATAAGATGGAAAACACAGAAGAAATGGACAGATTCCTAGATACATATGAATTACCAAAGTTGAA